ACCCCCGCTGTCCCGCACAGCTGCGCTGTCGGCGTGACTGGCTCTTTCTGTGCGTGGGCTTGGCTTGTTCCGTGTTAGACCTTTCCTGACTTTTTTTTTTTTCCCTGCGTTGCTTACGTTGTACCCTTTTTTGTGTTATTTTTTTCTCCCATTGTATTAAGCGGTTTCTTTTAGTCTTGTTTTTTGTTCAGTCATCTAATGATCGTCATGATGATGTACAGGATGTAGATAGGTGATCACATGCACAGTGTGGCAGCTTGGAAAACATCCGTTCACGTAAACCTCATATTAGAACAAAAAAGGGAGTAGGCAGTGGGAATAGCTTTAAAGAAGGGAGTTCAGGAGGAAGAATGCAGAGGTTAAGAAACGGAGCAGGTGGACTTGGCCTACGAAGAAATATATTTTCATATACTCATCTCTGTTTGAGTTGCCTAAATACAGATAGATGTGTAAATCAAGTGAATTTTGGCCTGTGTTAGACCAGCGCGGAAGTTGACAGTCACTCCTAGCAGACAAGGGATCTTTACAAGACTGATTACAGGGTGCTGGATTTCTGGCAGCATCTGTTAGTAATTTTGCTCGTGATTGTGCATAAATGGTGTATTGATGTCAGGGGATAGGTTGAGGGAAGTTGTTGCTGCTTGTGAGCTTGATAAAAATTCAGTAACTGTAAATTCTTTCAAATCAACTTGATGCCTTGCATGAAGACATCTACTTTTGTGGGAAGTAGCAGGATAGTAATTTCAAAAGAAGATTAAGTTCAGTCACGAGGGCGTTTATTTTACTGTAGATACGTAGCTTTCAAAGAAAACCCCAGAAATCCACAGATGTCTCTGAAAGGCAACTTGTACGAAAATGGCAGGTGACTAAATCATAATTTCATTTATTTGCAAATATTTTATTTCATAAGTAATTATTTTACTAACGAGGAAATAGTTCTGAGATGCTGTTTTGTAGTGCAGAAGGACCTTGATTTTCTTTTCTTTCATCATATTAAAGCTGTGATAGTTATCCTGAGAGTGAAACTCAATCTGACTGGATATATTACATGTTTATTAATTATTACTGCAGAAGAGAACATGTATAACTAGAAAATGTAGTATGCATAAGAGATGTGAGAACTCTAGAATTACCACTGGGACTGAATTTTTGTGAAGCTGTTTTGTAATTTATACTTTGCCAAATGGCATGTTGCATCATTCTTATCATCATCAGTGTTATGTTTATAAATAGAGGGAAGCATTTAGCTTTTAAGTGTTTGAAGATTCTGTTACGTCCTTGACTTAAAGTCATTCACACTTTACACTTTCTAAAACTTTTGCAGCTAACTTTTCTGAGCAAGTAGTTGAAAGCTTTCCATCTGATATCTCTACTGGTATATACTATGGATGGGCCTGCGTTGGAAATGGAGATGTGCATAAAATGGTGTTGAGCATAGGATGGAATCCTTTCTATAAGAATACTAAGAAATCAGTGGTAAGAATTTTGCTTTGTGGGGGATTTTTGTTATAATAAATGAGCCAGATGTTGAATTTGAATAAGGTAAGCAGAACTTGATCAATAAATGAGATCTGGAAGTTCTGTTTGCTCTTAAAAATGTATTTGGTGTCTATATTGTATGTTTATATTCTGAAAAGAAAATACTTTCAGTAGCCACAGAGTATGCAGCTGTAGGTGGATAAAGTTTATTTTCTTCTTTCTACTCCATCATTACTTAAATAATTCCAAAGTGAAAATTTAACATTATTTCTGAAATGGTGGTTTCCTGCGGTGCTGATAGCTAACTAAATATAAGCTGAATAGACACACCGAATTTACTGCTTGTGAGAGCCCCCAGCATGCGCTGCAACACACTAATCTATTGTCCTCTGCAATCTATCTGTGTTTCAAATAAGAGATGTTGGGGCATGCTGGTTTGTTATGATTTTCTATTAATTCTTCTCTTAAATGATGGATTCAATACATGAGATGCTGTGGCTTGATATACAGAATAAATATTCGAAGGTACATGATAGTAAGGTGGAGGAATTGAGTTAAAATCCTAAGCTGTGACAGCTGTGTTTTTCTTGCTGTCAAGTGCTGCTGCTTTTCCTAGGTCTTGCAGAGCTCTGCTTTAATTGTTTAAAACACTTTTGTGTGGGCATGAATCTCTGCTTCTAAGCTTCTGAGTGTTTGAAGACTCTGTAACATGCTTGTCTTAAGCAAATGTATACTCTTCAAAATTTTTGCAGACAACTTTTCTGAGCAAGTAGTCAAGAGCTTTCCATCTGCTATCTCTGCTGGTATATGCTGTGGCTGGGCCTGTGTTGGAGATGGAGTTGTACATAAAATGATATTGAGTGTAAGAAGGAACCCTGTCTCTGCCTTTGCTCCTTCTTGAATTTTATTGTTCAATTCCCTTGTGAGCTGGTTCTAAAAGCTCTCCTTAAGTCAACTATTTCAATGAAAATCTTCATAGTTATTTGGATGCATCAACCTAACAATGAAATATTTAGCCTTTTTTGTGATTTGCTACCTTGGAAGTCTTACCTCTGAGAAGTGGTGAAGCATTTCTCTTGAGTAATGCCTTTTTCTTTTTTTTTTTGGCTATCAGAATACTCTTTAGTGAATAATTTTTCTTAAATTCCATGCAAAGTACTGTTCTCCTTCCTAATGTAAGCAAAAGCCCTAGCCTTTTAATCTTGTAATATACATGCTAACCTAAATGTCCCTTTTAATGGTGTGTGTTGGGGAGAATTTGAATTATGGATATTAGCTGTGCGTCCTTACGGTGAGGGAAATAAAGTTCATCATAAATGCCAACTTACTTCTCTTCCTTTAGGAAACGCACATTATCCACACCTTCAAAGAAGACTTTTATGGAGAAATTCTTAGTATAGTCATAATTGGATATATTCGACCCGAAAAAAACTTTGATTCCTTAGGTCAGTATTGCAGGTTTCCCTCAAACTAATCTGTTTTTGTCTTACTCATGCAAGTACTGTGTCTTCACCGTCTCTGTTTCCATAATGAGATGTTTTATCTGTTAAACTTTGAAATGTCAGTAAAATGTTTTCATAAGCTGAATGTTCAAGTTGGTTTAATTAAGAAAATCAGAACCATACCCCCATATCTGCCAATATATCACACTGAAAAACTATGTTGTTTCGTCACTTGCCTGAGGAGTAATTTTAAAATCATGGGCTTGTCATAAAAGCATCAGTCTAGTCTGTTAATTTCTTTTTAAAATGCAGCTCTGTTAGAATTGGAACAGTTCATGAAACTGTTGATCTTTTGCTAAAATGTCTTTTGGAACAAGGGGAGGGTAGAAGAAAAATGCAACTCTGGCATGTTTAAAAAGAAAAAAAAAAAAGCCCTTTTAAAACCAAAGCGTGTTGCCTTTCAGACCTCACGGTAATAATTATATTCCACTTCTGTGATTGTTGTATGGTATTCTGTGGTACATATTTTTGCTTGCAGTTGTGTGTTCAGAATTCAAACCAACTTTTAACTATCCCTATTCTTACCTTTTTCAGAGGCGCTCATTTCAGCAATTCAGGAAGACATTGACGAAGCAAAAAGACAGCTAGATTTACCAGAACATCTTAAACTCAAAGAAGACAACTTCTTTCATCTACCAGAAGGCAAAATAGTGAACAACCACTGAGCAAATCCGTGCTGCTTTTATTTTTTTCTTTTTATTTTTCTCCCCTGTCATGGAGCTTTTATATTTGCACTGCTTTTATAGATACTTTGTTGTCATAGGTCTGTTCAGGTAACTGAGGTTGGAACCAACCATACAAGATAATTCTACTTTCCTTGTGTTAATTCGTCGTTAACCTGGTCATGCAAGAGGAGCAGAAGGCAGTTTTAGGTCCTTACAGATAAACTGTGCATTGTAAAGTTACCAGTTGTTCAGAGACCCAAGCACATGCAGAACATGACCAAAGTTCATCGTGATCTCTTCTGACCCTAAGGAATGGATAGTTCACTTAAGTGAAGAATGTCTGTTTTTAACATACAGAATGTTATTCCAACCTCTTTTTCCCAGTTTTATGTCATCCTTAACGTCTGGATTTTAGCTGTAGCTTAGAAAATTTTGTTATGGATTGAGTCAGAACTTTCCTGTGGTGCAGGAAACCAATGATTGGATAATGATAGCAAGATAATTCTCTATAGTTCTTATTTTTTATATGCTACGCAGCTGTCATGATGGAAGCTGTTATTTTAATTGGAATTATTTATTTTAAGTTTATTTGAAATGGAGGAAATCACTGTTGCTCATTAAGTTACTGGAATCTGAGATACACTTCTTCATAATAGAATGTACTTATGAAAATACATGACCTATGTCATTTACTTCTGAAGAAGCATTTCACTGAAATTCAGTAGATGAATGACAGTGTGAAAGTTGATGAACTTTAAAGGGTCAGGCACAAAAGATGCAGAAACAGCATAACAAGACTTCTGCTTGTTGGGCCTTAAGGCAAAAGAGATAATGAAAGCCAACTTTGCATTTTGTGTGCTGCTGGCATTTGCCATCGTAAAATGGGGAGAACCTTGGGCTTATTCAGTGTACTGGCAATGAAATGGCTGACTTCAAGATTGACATTGTAAGGCACAGAAAAACCTCATCAACACTCTGCACCAAGTGCAGGTAAGAGCCAAGGTTTTCTCTGACCAAGTAGATTGATACACAAGTGAAAGCTTTTGGGGATTCATGGAATAATATATCAAAACTATAGTGGATATTGGTTATTTATTACAAGTAACTTCAGCTGGTCCTACTCTGAAATGTAGGGATAGGTAAATGGAGGGGGTATTGTCAGAATTGATAGTAATTTGGTAAATACTTCTGAAAGTGTGTAATGTTTGATTCCAAATCTACTTTTTTTTTTTCTCCTCTGATAAAATTTTATATCCCCTACTCAGTGAATGGAGCTAGGTAAGCTGCAGTGACTTTGTCATGGTCACAGTCTTTTATTGTTGGCTTGTGATGTGGCTGGAACACTTTATGAAATCCAAAGTGGTTCTGTGTCTATGTCTCAACTGTAGTTCTGTGCCTGAACTACCATGTACAATTTGGAACGCACAATTTCTGTAGTGCAATTTTATGAATTTACTCCTTGTCCTGTCCTGTTCAAATCTGACTTTTCAGTCTAGGGTTTAAGGGAGTTTTAACAAGGTAGCCATTCAAGTCTTTTTGGCAGGTGCTGTCAGAATGTTAGTTCCGCTTCACTCTGTTTTAACTTTCAGCCAGTATCATGGGATATTATTAAGGAAGAGGTCCTGAGCAAATGAAGGACTTGTTTTTGCTCTGTAGGACTTCAGGAGGAACTTGATTTCATTTAATTGAATTGATTACTAGTGCTGTTGATAGCAGAGACATACAGGATTAGGAATGACGGAGCACTTGTCAGCAGTTACATATATTTTCTTTTAAAGAAGAACAAAATAATGTAGCTGACTTTTACTATGTAACATGTTGGAAACTGTATTTCCAAGAAGTCTGTAAAAGAACTGTCTTGCAAGAGTGACAGTTCGATTTTGGATTTTTTTTTTTTACATTTTGGAATGGAGGGATGAAGGTAGAAAAATTTTTTTGCAAAGATTTGAGGAATTCTTGAGATTGTAATGAAGTGAAGGTCTTATATTTTACTTTTTTTGAAGAATAAACAAAAGCCACACTAGTCAACTGAATATATTGTCAAGTATATATTTAAAGAGTAGATTATTGTTTGTCATGGTACTGTAGCTAAACACACATAGCATTCTTTAAAATTGTTTTGTGCCAGTAATGTCATGTATCTGCTGTAGAAACCATGGTGCCTTAAGCTGGTTGTCTGAATAGTACTTCTCTGTATCTGCTAGTAAATGCTACTATGAAAAATTCAGTTCACTGATTATAGAACCACTATGCTGTTGATAGAGAACAATGGCAAAGGGAAGACTCAAAACCCCATTAGTTTGCTCTCAAATCTTAGCGGAGGTGTGACATATGGCTACAGTGAACTACTAAACTGCTCATTGTGTCTTTGCATGTGTGTCTTCAAATTAGAGAAAATGTTATTACATTCATTTGGCTGAGTGTACCTGTCCACATGATTCAAGAGAAAATGTTATGTATGAACTGTTTAAGCTCAATATGTAATTCCTAGCACAGTATAAAAGTTATGAAGGGTTATATTTTTGTATTATGTACAAATAACTGTATTTCAGTTGGTGTTGCTGCACTGTACCATTAATAAAGGAACTGTAATTGACAAAGTTATTCTACTTGTCACGGGTTTCCTTTCCTTTGCCGTGCCTAGCATGTTAGTTGTCTTGCTCTTATGCAAAGCTTTGTGGGAGTGGCTGCCTGAAAAACTAGACTGACAGAAAATAGTAGAGAGATGTTGTTCAGCCTTCCTACTGTGTGAAAACTGGCCCCACTCTGGGGATTTTTGTGGTTTAGTCAGAACTTATGGGAGCCACAGCCTTACAATTCACAGCCTGAAACCCATTAATTGATTTGTCTCTACATTTTCTTTCAAAAATTTTTAAAACTACTTGTTTCTTTTAGGATTCAGATGGAAGAAGTCACATTCTTCTCCTGTGTTTTCCTTCAACTGTTAAACAGTTGTCTAGGTCAGGGCAAAATTTAGCTGCTGCTGCTGAAGGAGAGGCAAACCTGTATCTTAAAACACATTATTGTGGCTCCGGCCTCTGTTGGGAAAAAGTTCCTCTCGTACTTTCACTCTTGGCAACTGTTCATACGTTGACCTTTAGTGAAGTTACAACAAGAAAGAATGTAACATATTGTGGTGATAAGTGTGGTTAGGGTTGATTTTTTTTTTTTGTGGCATGCATTGGACTCTTCAGTGTAGTCTGGAATCTGTCAGGAATCATGCTTTTAAGAACAGAGTGCCCAGACTGCAGGTACACGTTTGAGAGAGAAATCCTCAAGCACCTGTATTGTTCAGGGCTTCTCTTTAACACTAAGCACTATGGTTTCCAAGCAGCTAGATTTTCTACCAGTTTCTTTTGGAATTAAAATGAAGTGTGAAAATACCAGAATGCCTTCAGGTGTCTTTTGTAATGAATATGCTTTATGTAGAGGTATAAACTTTTTTCAACATATGCTCGTATTTTCTGAAGGGAAGGGGTATTAAAAAAGTCTAATAAGCGGAAAGCCACACTTGCTAGAGTGATGGTTAGAAAACTTAGGTTGTCTACTCTTCCAGAGGAACATTTGCATAGATTTGTTGCCTTTTTTGGTTTTTAAATGGGGTGGAGCTTTAAAAATGCTTCTGACAATGTCAGTTATTTGAGTGGAGGTAATGATCTCTGTCTTGATCTATAATGGTTGGGAACCAATTTTGGCTTCTTGTTTGTGGCTCAGAATAGCTGAGTGCTTAGTATCTTTTACGTGTTCTCAAGTTTGCTGTTGGTATGCTTCTTGCAAAGTGCTAAGATTCGTGAGTGAGAGAGGATGGTGTAATTCAATGCAATCAGTGAATGCAAGATTTTTATTTGTCATTTTTGTTTCCTAATGACGAGAACTTAGGTGAGGGAATTAGGGTTTTTTGCATAAGGACCGGGAAAAAAGAAAATTTGGAACTGAAGATGATGCTGAGTGACAAGAAAGAGAAGAAAGGATACAGCAAAGTGACTGGATGGGGATTTTGGTCATAGCACATGCAGTGAGCAAGGATGGAGTAACTCAAGAAGAAAACCTGAGGAAGAACAGTTTAACATAATAGTTTAAGAAGTGTAGAACCTGAACTCTTCATGAAAAAGAGAAGTCCTTATCTGGATGCTGAATGAGGAACAATGAAAGAACATTATTTCCCTTTTTAATACTCAATTGAATGTGTAATATAAATTTGCAAAGTCATGCAAAGGAAAAATAAGTGCATCTGTTTTCTTGGTTAAGGAGGTCTGCCTCCTGCTTAGACCTATGCTGAACAGGGACAATGGGAAAAAAGTTGTATTTGCTGCCTACTTTACAGTGTTACATACTTTCCCAGGAAAATCTTCTGCTGTGTTCACAATTCATGAACTCTTGGGAGATTTGTTAAAATCAGTTTCTGGACATGTATTAGGGAACTCCCTAAATATTTCTGAGCAGTAGGAACCAATAAAAGTAGGAACATATAGTACTTACTTGGAAAGAGAGCAGAAGTTACATGTGCATATGATGTCTGTTAGTAATTTTGGATCTTAATATATATCTGTCTAGCTCACTGCAAATACGTATGCCCATGTCTTTTGTCATCTGTTGTTTGATTGCAGAAGTGATACCTATGTATCCATCTGTTCCTGAAAAGGTAATACTGCTATCCTGATATTTTGTATTAAATTGATTCAGCGCTTGAAATGAGCTTTTAAACCCTAATTCCTAATCCTAACATCTTTGGTATTGCCTACTAAGTAGAAAAAAAATACTATTCAGAGTGGAAAAAACTTCTTACTCTTTCTATTCAGAAGTCCTTTTACACCCTCAGAACATCTATTTGTTCCTCATCAGGTTGCGTGTTTAGTTATTCCCTAAAATTCAGGCTTGAAACCACACTTGTGTTTTTTTAGGTTAAGGGTAAGTGAAAAATCTATGGTTAACACAGCTCTATTCTGCTGAAAGAAACATACCTTTCCCTCCCTCCCACATATATATTATGTAAACATCTA